GAAAGACTCGTTTATTAATTATTTGCTTACTAACATTGGGACATTTTCATCTGTTTGAGAATTGAAATGACAGATAGATTAAAGCTGACCGTTTGGCTCGAGGATATTTATTCCTGATGATTTCGTGGGATTGGTTGTGCCGAAGCTGATTGTGAGCATTTTTGTTGGTTAAAGCAACAGGTACAAATATGGTAACTTTCAAGTAATGGTGGAATGAATGGTATGGGAAAGGCTTAATTTTGATGGTAGTGATTTTGATTTGAGGTAAAGCTCAAGCAGAAGAGGATAGTGATGGAGATGTAGCGGACTACGAGGATATCAATGGATTCAATTTCAATATTTTGAGGTTTTTCGATGTTTTTGATCAATTCAATTTCTGTTTTTCGGAATTGATATCGATTTTGAGAAAGTATGCTGTCACGTCTGTTTTTTGTTCTCGGTGTTTATAGTGGAATAGTATTGGCCTGTTTGTTTTGTAGAAAACTTCACAATGACTCGAAAGAGTCACTGGACCAGTTTCGATTGCATCTGCTCGAAAAAGATGAACTTACGCCTCTAAAAGTTTGGCAAGTACAAGACCTCAGCTATCAAGCGGCCCAACGAGTTGTATTGTCTGGCCCCAAGAAGGCGTTTGCTGTGCTCATGGAAATGAGTCAATATTTCCCATTGCTGGCACGATCGATTTCGCGACAAGCTGTCACAAAAGAATTCANGAAATCTGAAGGTGTTGTGATGCGTGAGTGTATTTGTTATCAAATATTGTGCCTTTGTGCAGTCTGTGCTTCATCCTTTTAATAATAGCGTTTAAGGTGAATATGAATCAAGAACTGACGTTCTCTGAATTGGATATCAGCGAAGGAGATTCATCGTTGTTCCTGAACGGTATTCCAGTTGATGTGGACTCGTTGGATATTTTCAGTTTACTGGAAATGTTAAAGCAAGAACAAAAACTCACTGATGGTTTCTATAAATTAGGATTCAGGGTTAGTTTTCGGATGTTCTATTAGAGCGATATTTTAGAATAACTTTTATAGTTGTTATAGTTGTTGCTGCTGTTAGTTCGACTTTTAAGTCGTCCAAAATCCAAACCGTCGGTAACTAAATTTTAACAATCAGGGTGCGTTTTAGGGCCGGCATTTGATTTTTTACTGAAAAAGTAAGCACTGATCTCATATGTCTGTAAGATTTACGGTGTGTTTCATATGTGAGCGTTTTGAAGGCATTTCATTCGGTTACCATTTAAGGCATTTCGATTCGTGTTCCATCAGAGAGAAGAAGTTCTTGATTGAGTTTTGTTTCAGAAGGAATTCATAACGATCCTATTGGATATTGAGCCAACTGATGATCGCTCGTCGTATGCACTCGATTTTAGACAAGC